GGAAACAGACTTGTTTGTGTGGTAAGGTGAAATGCAGGGAGTTCAGGATGTTTGATGGATAAAGAAGAAGCAGAGAAAACCAAATCTAGGGGGAAAAAGTGCTTTTTTCCTCTCAGTTTGTTCCCAAGAGTCTTTTGGCTCTAAACAAAATTCCTCAAAGACAGTCCAGCTAACAGTTCAGTCAGCTAATACCAATAATAATACAAGATTTTGTCTGCTTTACTGTTGCTAACTCACACTTGTTTGTCTGCAGGTGTGTAAGTACTTCTTGGAGGCCATAGAAAACAATAAGTACGGCTGGTTCTGGGTGTGTCCCGCAGGGGGCGACAGTTGTATGTACCGGCATGCTCTGCCTCCCGGTTTTGTACTGAAAAAAGACAAAAAGAAGGAGGAGACAGAGGAAGAGATCTCGTTGGAGGAACTTGTAGAGAGTGAGGTAAGGATAACTACAACAGCGTGCTTTAGGGAACCTTTGAGGTGAGTAACAGCAGCGCAGAGTTGAATGAATGAGATGGACTAGAAGGTGTAAAAGTGAGGCTGCTGTCTTTGGTATTGCTGATGTGCAAACTGTTTTTACCATAGACAACTTTGCACTTTTCTCCTTTATCTTCAAAAGGCTGGCTCAGCCTGGTGTGGAGGTTCTTTTATCATAGCTGTATGTCAGATTTTGAACAAGTGTGTCAGTATTTGTTGAATTAGACATGCATTTATGAAATGTTCCTTGTCTATAGTCTAACTTTTCACAGACTTGGTCTGCTGAGACAAATTTTGGTTTCTCTGAAATCACTAATCACTGGTCTCGTGTTGCTGTTAGTAGAACCAAAGAAAACAGATTCCTCGTCGTTATTTTAAAGCATCTATGGAATAAAAGCAAACTTGGAGGTAATGAGCCTACCAAAGACTGAACCAAGACAACAATCTTGCAGATATGTCAAGTGGATTTTTGTAGTGATGTAACACTTACTCAGGATATGTGTTTGGAATTGTATTATAAAAGTGACAATTAATAAAGATGTTTTTGGGCTCTTGTGTTTGTTTGATTTTTGTAGGATAAGACATTTGGCTTAAAGAACAAAAAAGGGGCCAAGCAGCAGAAGTACATCAAGAATGTTACTCAGCAAGTCAAATATG